GCTGGCCCCAAAACAGAGCCCTGGGGAACACTGCTCGTGATCGGCCAGCCGCCAGCTGGACTTAACTCCATTCACCACTACTCTCTGGGCTCGGCCACCCAACCAGTTTTTTACCCAGCAAAGAGTACACCCGTCCAAGCCATGAGCTGCCAGCTTCCCAAGGAGAATGCTATGGGACACTGTGTCAAAGGCTTTGCTAAAGTCCAGGTAAATGACGTCCACAGCCTTTCCTTCATCCACCAGGCGGGTCACCAGGTCATAAAAGGAGATCAGGTTGGTCAAGCAGGACCTGCCTTTCATGAACCCATGCTGGCTGGGCCTGATCCCTGGGTTGATCTGCACTTGCCTGTTGAGTTCACTCAATAAAATAATCTTTCCCGGCACCAAGGTCAGGCTGACAGGCCTGTAGTTCCCGGGTCCTCCTTCCCGCCCTTCTTGTAGATATAATATAATTCAATATAATTGAACTCCCTAAAACTACTTCAAATTCTGGCTTTATGCATTTAGCTACTTTCTGAGTTCCACGCAAATAGGTTTGGTTTTTTTTTTACTTATTTTAATAAATCTATCTAATAAGCAGAAAAAAATGCAACACTTAATCTTCAAACATAAATGTGAAAAGTAAGAATTTAAAGTAATTTATTAAGTATATCCTCCCAGCCACCAAGTGAGTACCAAACTATACCAGCCAGTGAGAACCAACCTTGATTTTGGGAAGTAAAATACAAACAGAAAGAAAAAAAAAGATTATTAATACCCAGGGTTCCCTGTGGGCTGGTTTATGATCACGATTAAATTTGGCTATTTTAATTGCTCAACTCCAGCTATTGGTACTGAACTAGAAGCTTCTTAGCAGGGCCAAGACAGATTTTCTTTCTGAAATGACATTTGAAGTCTTTTGTAAGCTGCCTTCCTCTCCTAACCTGAGCAGGACTCCAGGCTGTTTCATTTAAATGGCTGATGCAAACCTTCTGTAAGACTCATGTCCTCCTCTCCACACATGGTGGGGAGCTCTGCCCAGCTCGTGGCTGTTGAAAGGATGTTGCAAAAGGGGTAGAAGGAACAGAAAAGAAACATCGTGTCCAGAGAACAACGGAGCTGGTGAAGGGTCTTGAGCACAGGTTTTATGAGGAGCAGCTGAAGGAACTGGGGTTGTTTAGTCTGGAGAAGAGGTGGCTGAGGGGAGACCTTATCGCTCCCTACAACTGCCTGAAAGGAGGTTGTAGTGAGGTGGGTGTCACTCTCTTTTCCTGAGTAATGAAGTGATAGGACAAGAGCAAACAACTTCAAGTTGTGCCAGGGAAGGGTTAGATTGGATATTAGGAAAAATTTCTTCACGGAAGGGGTTGTCACGCATTGGAACAGGCTGCCTGGGGAAGTGGTTGAGTCACCATCCCTGGAGGTATTTAAAAGACATGTAGACGTGGCACTTAGGGACACAGTGGTGGACTTGGCAGTGTTACGTTTATGGTTGGACTGGATGATCTTAAAGGTCTTTTCCAACCTAAATGATTCTATGATTCTATGATTTCCTCCTCCAGGTGACCAAGAGGCACATTTTCTTTGACACTAGGTAGCAAATGCTACTAGGCCACCTATCTGGCCAGCAAGCAAAATATCAAAGAGTAAGTAAAATCAAACACTTGAGCTGCCACAGGAAAATCCTAAATTAATTTTACTCCAAGATCCAGGCTGAAAGAGTCAAGACACAAACAGAAGTTGCCAAGCCAACATGGTAGGCTCCGAGCTCAGCCAGCAACTGAAAGTAAGAGGAAAAGCACAGACAACAGCTTCCACACAGGGTGATGGCAACTTACAGTTGAAGAAGGCATTGAAGTCCTCATCACTGTCAAAATCAAAGCGGGAGTACTCACAGCTGGTGCTGTCTGTTTTAGAGGGAAAGCCCACCTGGAGACAGAGTGGACAAGGTCAGGAAGGAAGAGAAGTCACCCATCACAGCTAACACCAGGAGATGAATACTGAAGGCAAGGAGCAGACAGTAGAATGTTGAGATAGAGCTGTTTGCTCAGCAGGCTGGAGATCATGTCTGTGGCAGACACAATAAAAATGTAGTTTCTCCCCCATGATCCACAGGCCATGTTCACCTAGACACCTATCTGGCCACAGTTCCCACATACCTTCACTAGGTTGGTCATAGACGCACGGAGATACTTGGGAATCATAGCCAGCAACAAGGGGTCACGAGACAGAACTTCATGCCGAAAGAGGGCTCCCCATGTGATCTGGGTGGAAGAGCGCAGAAACTGGGGGGAAGAAGAGGGAAAAGAGGGGAACAGAGAAGGATTTCAGTGCTGAAATGTCCACTGCTAACTTGAAGCGTTGCTATCAGAAGGCAAGAGCAAATTACACTATTTGGTTGAGTCCAAGGCACCTTGCAAGCTCAACCCAAACTTCCAGAATGCTGAAAATCTCTAAGTCATTAATAGGGCTCATTGCAAATTCTGCACTTTCTAGTCAGCACCTCTGTGTCAGGCACTGTTCCTAATGGAGTGGTAATGGAGGAGAAACCACTCTGCCTTCCAGGTCTTCAGCTGAAATGGAGAGCCTGGAAAGCGATATTTGGCAGCTGAAGTTCTGCAGTTTTCTATAGGTTAGTTCAATTATGCATTCACACATTCTTACATAGACATACATGAGACCTTCAGCCCTTTACATACCTGGCTGGGATGGGTTGTGAAGGCTAAAAACGAGTCAAGGTATTTTCCAAAGTTGGTTGGCATTTCCACATCAGAATCTGAGCCCTATTGGGAAAAAAAACAATTTCAGACAAAATACTAACTATATGTCATGCTGGGCTCACAACTGGGTAAAGTAGGAGCACTACATCCAAGGCCACAGACTGTAAAGGAGCAGAGAAAAACACTGAACAACTGTGATTTTTTGTGAAAGCAGTAAGGCCTGAGGAGTAGCAAGTTCAGCTGACCAGCCTGGGGGTGCTGGAGACAGCACCACCCTCATTCAAGAGGAAAAGGTGACTTCTCAAGATACTGGAATTCTATTAAAAGCAAATTCATGACCGCTGGTGCTGTTGCCATGAGTCACAATTTTACCCTTATTGGGTCAAGCCCACTCAGCAGTACTGAGGTGGAACAATTCTCAACTACAGAATTTCACAAGCAAATACACCCAGATGATTTCACTCCCATTCCTCCAAATGTTTCCTGCATTTAGCGTATGGACATCTCTTCTCAATAAATTTCTGGGAAGTTTGTCAGGAAAGTAAGGTTTACCTGGAGCCAAAAATTCAAGGTTTTGCTGCTCCTCCTCACTCAGCAAGCTCCTCACTTGACCTGGTGCCCTCGACATCCCTGTTCTGGAACTGCACAGCTCAGTGCTGCCTCTCCCGAGTCAATCTGGATGAGAGGACTCAAATCCCCACCTCATTACTTCATTACGGACTAACAGCTCCCACTATCTAACAGCAAGTGAAGTCACTGAAAGTAATAACACACTCTTTGTTTGCTGTCTATTCTTTTCAGGGATAAATTCTCAAAGGTGGGGTTTTTTTTTTGTTTTCTTTCCCTCCCTGTGAGAATTTACTCTGCTCTATCACTTGCACAGGCTGGCTGCCTCAGTCTCCCCATGAACAACCTCTCTCAAGATGCCTGCCTTCCTTACTGTAGAAGGACTGTGCTGAATGGAGGGAGCAGGAATTCAGCAGCCAGCATGGTATGCAAAGGATCAGTGTGCATCTTCATCTCACCATTGACACAAAGCATGAGAAAGATGAACAGCAGGAACAAAACCTGTTTCTTCCTTCATCTTGAGAGAATCTTGGTAGAAAAACAAACAAGTATACTCTCTGAGTTATTTTTAATAGGGAAAATTAAAAGGCTTCCAAAATAGGAGTGATTTCCTGGAGTAGTTTTTCTGTAGCAGTAGATAGCAAGGAACTTGACCAATTTTCAATAAAGCTTCATCATTTTACAGAGGTTATAGGAGATGACTTTTGCTGACAGCAGAGGCCTGGAATCAGTCAGGGTCCCTCCATTCTACATTCCTATGGCTTGGGAGGATGCAGTTATCCCACTCATCAGCACAGCCATTTCTGCCTCTACCAAATGCATGGAGAAAACCCTACAGCTACCAAATGTGCAGAGAGAACCCTGGTCCTACCTTAGCTCAGTGTTGCCTCACCCCCAGCCCTAAAAACTAGCCTTGCCAGGGTTGCTGCTGGTATCAGTAGAGACTTACTAGCAAAGCACACAGCTGGCTGCCCAATGCACACAAAACTTGGCAAAGTCTCTTCAAGAAAACGTAGTGCTTCTCCACCAGGCCTTCTCCATCTGCTGTCCTGGGAAAGAGGGGAGGGGGAAAAACAGGATCAGTTACTCATGCTGTAGGTAACAGGCACACTGCTATCTATCTTGTAGATAAAAAGAGGACTAGAGCAATTTGATTTTATTGCAGTGGGATTTTTTTTGCTACTATCAAGAAGCACTGCTTTATGGGCATCTAAAACCTCTGAAATTGCCTCTGAAAGAGTCCCTCCTGATCAGTTTCAGGCTAACAGAGAAAGCTGGGGAAGGTGTGATACTTATACCACTTTGTCTTTCAATTGTGGGATTTGAAAAAACTTGCAACTTTTCAGGTTTTGCAAAAGAAATGGTAGTTTTCTTCTCTCCTGGCCTAGTCCCAGCTTCCTGCAGTTGAGCAGCAATATCTTTTGTGAATCACATCTATAAAGCCATTTGTATGCAGTTTTGTGTGAAATTACAGCAGCAGGATGGTACTCACTGGGCAGCAGAGAGAATGTAGTGCATGGCAACGTCTCCAAACAAGACCATCAGAGGCTTCCGATCCTCCAGCTTACCCTGTGTGTAGAATAAACCAAATGCCTCAGTTAGAACATAACTATTTATTCCCATCTGCAAGTGAAATTAGGAGATCCTCAGTTGTCCTTCCATCCTGTCTAGGGAGGGGCTTACAGTCCACAAATGATTCAGTAAAAACTTGCCAAAAAATCTAAGGTATTCCTGATCTCAAAAAATCTCCCCAAGCAACCCCACCACAGGAACTTTAAATTGAAAAACTGATCCTGAGACATTAACTCTTCTCCACTGCAGACTGGCTAGTTATGTAAGGGCAGCTGATAAACACCCAGCCTTGACGCTAAGCTGCTTGTGAACATACAGGTCAAATCACCTGTTCAGATCCTGCTGTCATTGTTCTGAGCTGCCAGATGACACAGCTGGTGACAGTATTTCCCACTTCACAGTTGTAGAAAGTGGGGCAAAAAGAAGTTAATGGGGATCACCAACTTCAAAACTGCGAGGAGAGGGAAGCACAGAAGTTGGAAAGGGTTCCAACAGTTGCTGTATGTATAGTGCTGGCATGACATTCACGCTAAGTATCACTAACATAAGCAGCCAAATTTGAATTTTGTTTCTTAAATAAAAGGGCAATCTGAAGGATTATATAGGGGAACAGGAAGAAAACAAAGGGGAGCCAGAGGAGCTGAGGAGGAAGAACTCACTTTCCTGATGACA